CCTTCCCTTCCCTTCCCTTCCCTTCCCTTCCCTTCCCTCCCCTCCCCACAGCAGGCGGCTGGGAGCAATGCAGGAACGTCACCGTGAGCCCGCGGTCCCGCTATTACCTGAACTGCTCCATCGAATCCCACCATGCCAATTACACCTGGCGCCGCGAGGGGCGAAGTCTCACGCACTGCAGCTCTGCCCATCAGCACTGCCTATACTTCATAGACAGCATGGCGGAAGGACTTTATGGGACCTACTCCTGCGTTTCCCAGGAGGGCTGGTTCAAGCAGACGCTCGCGACAGAATGTCTGCAGAAGCCGGAGGCATCCATGAAGCTCAAGGTCTCGGCTCCAACGTGCTGGGCCCCCGCACAGTCCTTCTCCTTCTGGCTAGGATTGCTGCATATGGCAGTGATCTTCTTGATGCTCCAGTAGGAACGGCTGACCTTCTGACTGCCCGCCAACACCCATGGGCGACACACTGGGCCACCCCGTGTGGCCTCCGAATCCGCCTGCTCTTTGCTCTCCGTCTCCCGTTTAGATCTAGCCCTTTGCCCTGCTTGGGGCCGCCCTCACCGCCTGGGCCAGGGGCGCCCCGGGGATTCGCAGTCCGTAGCAGCTTGGAGGCAAAGAGTGGTTGGCTCTTGTGTACGACGAGCCACAATAGCCAAGTGCAAGGACTCGTCTGGCACCATCGAAGTCGTGGTCTCCCAGAGCAGAAATGGAAGCCTCTGCCACGGGGGTGTTCATCCCCTCCCAACCCACGGGCTGAGTCCCACTTCACAGAAGCTCTTGAGGGCCATCTCTTGGTGGCGGATTGGCCTGAGGGCGAGCGGGGGGTGGCCAAGCATGTCAGCTTATTGTAGCTGCAAGCTCAGGAGTGCGTTTCGACTTTTTAAGAAGCTGCACACAAGGCAGGAAACCGAAGCACAACCCGCTGTTCATCGGGTCGCCGTGAGTTGGAGAGGGACTTGGTGGCACGTGAGAGTGGTGGCCAGTGCACGGGTGCCTGAAACTGGGACCTCCAGTGGGTTGACTGGGCTCCCGGGCCGGGGGCCGTGCACCACTGATTAAAGCAACAAGCCAAAGGGATGGTTGGAACGGGTCTTTCCCAGGCTTCAGCGAGATTCAGGCATTCAGGTTCTAGGACCCAACGGAGCTCTCTCAACCGATGTTGTTCAGAAATGGCGGTCCAGAAGAGGTGGGAGTCAAGGTCCAGAGCAGCAAATGGCAATCAGAGAGAAAACAGCGTGTTCAAAATCAGGCAGTGGTCAAGATCCAGGGCAGTCCACGTACTAGCTAGAAAGTTGCTCAGGGTAGAGGGCACGTGTCAAGGTGAGGGCTTCGGGTTGTCCACTTCGGTGCAGCCTTTACCACGCATGGTTTGTTTATTTCACTAGAATTCAGATCATCTACTGACATGTCTTACATTTGCACAGCAATGGATCACTTGGATTCTCTGAGCACTTGAAGCCTAATCTGGGTTATGTGATCCCAATGCGATCCCCAAACTCTTCAGAATCAACTTGCATCTCATGGGATTGGATTAAGATTGGCCCAGCCTGGCACTTGCAAGAATCTGTGCTAGAACTCAGGTGATCCATTGGAGGACTGGTCTACCCTGTCCGTTCACAGACCAGTCTTATTCTGCTCTTCTCTAAATGATGAATGTGGGGCTGTGTTACCCTCGTTACTTTGGTTGACAGCACAGCTTCCTGCACTCATGTCTGTATCGTGATGGGAGGAGGGGAAGTTCTCCACATGAGTGGAGCTCAGCTCTCCAGACATCCTTCCTTTGTCTTATTCAGTGGCTGAAGGATATTTATTTCTTGAATATTAAAAATAGCTTCCCTGGCCCCTGCACAAGGGCACTCAGGAAAAATAGGTGGGCACACCTTCCAAGGAATAAAATGGTAATGTAAAAGACAGATGCTGAAAGGAAGAAGCAAAACCAGCAAAACATTAGGTCATGTGATTACATATTAAGCACTGTTCCAAGCCTTTCAAACACAAAATTCTTTGTACCGAAGCCAGTAAAGGTGGCTAAAGTGAACTAGAAAGAGAGATCAAAGAGTGTTCACAGCTTGTCGTTCTGCACCTGTTTGCGTATGTGCGGTGGCACTTCTGCAACACATGCTCTGAATGCAAAAGGTTCTGTGTTTGATCCAGGACCTGATACTTTGATCAAGCATTTCCAAGTTGGACTTCTGTCTGAAATCCTGAAGAATTTGCTGCCAGGATAAAAATACGGAGTTAGATGGACCACTGGATCCATTTGCAAGAAGGCAACTTCTTCTGTTTCCTAAGATGCTTTTCTTCAGTGGTCTGTTAGGCTGGCTGGGGATGTCGTCGCTTCCTGGAGCTGGCCAAATGTCCCATCTTAAGGTCGCCTGAGGTGAGCAGGGGAAGCGAGTGGCATCCAGTGTTATTGGGAACAAGGCAGCAAGAAATAGCACCTTGGATAGCTCCGAGTGGAACCACCTGACCTGAACTTTGTCCTACTACAGCCTTCCCCGACCTTGCGCCTTCAGACATGTTTGGCCTGCGACACCCAGGATCCCCAGTCCATGGCCCTGCTGGATGGGAATTCTGGGAGTTGCAGTCCAGGTGCCTGCCTCTGAAGGCCACCAGGTTGGGGAAGACTGTCCTGCTAGAGGAGGCTAGGAGGATGTTGTCTCAGAGGAAAGCTAAAGCCAGCTGAAGGCTTGCACAAGCCGACCGGTCGGTCTCCTTGGGTCCTGCCTCGAGGAGCTGACCGGGCTGTTCAAGGTGGACTGTTAGAGGTGCTCAGCCCATCTTGCAGCCCGAGACGAAATTCGCGAGACTGACACTCTGCTGATAGCTCTTCCTCTGAGCCAGGGATCCGTGGAGTGGCAGCCTTGTTCCCCCAGGGCTCGGAGGCCCTCTTCCCACCCATTTAAAAATCTGTGAAAAGGACAGACGATTGCATGACCAAACCAGAAGAGCGAGAGAGAGAAGACGAGAGAACCTTATACGGATGCTGTCTTAGGCACCGACAGGCTTCCTTATCGGGCAGTTTCGTGATCATGGGGCTATGATGTCGGAGGCCTTTTCAGCTAAAAGCAGAGTCAAGAAACTTGATTTGGAGCACTAAATAGTGAGGACTCGCACGCACACAGCTGTTGACAAAGGCTGTGTTACAACGGCGAGCCCTGGCTGCCAGCTTCACCGAGCAAGCGGCTACGTCGGCACGGACCGTGTTTCTCACGAACGGAAAAACCGGACCCAGAGGAGCATCCGTGCAGCTCATGCTTCTCCATGCACAGTTTGCGCTACGTGATTCTGACGTGCTTTGCAGATGATGGCTAGTAGAGCGTACCCTGGCTGTCCTTCCTCCCTCTGTGTAGTGTTTCCGTCCCTTATCAGGGCTGCCTGAGAATAAACTGTGAAATTGAATTTTTGGCCAGTGAAAGGGCTCTCTGTGTACTTTTTGGCCTTCTCTCATTTTCGCGATGGTCTCCCTTCTTATTTTTGTAATGTCATTAATGTAATGTCTGTATTCATGAAGCAATGTATATTATTCTTTATTGTGGCTGATTGAACTATAAATATGATTTTTTTAAATAAAAAGTCAAACTAGCTCTCAGGTGACGTTTCTTTACTCTCCTTCTCTCCAGCACTCGGGTGTCCAAGGGATGCAACACAACTGATGACCCAGAATGGTTGGCATGCTGGCCTTTTTTCCATCTAAATGTGCACAGGATTGCAACTGGAAAGCATTTTTATTCCGCTGTGGTTTAGACACAAAGGCTATCAAACAGCTCCCAAAGATTAAGGAAAAAGTCCCATTCTGCTGGCATAGGATCCTAAAACAGGAACAAAAAGATACGTTTTCATTGATTGTAATCTGCTTAGAGGGCTCTTGGGCTGATTTAGCAAAAAATACATTTAATAGATAAATAAATAGGGAATGGGGAGAGGGGTCACAGACAGCACATTATATCTGGAGCCAAGAGGTTTGGAATAAGGGATGGAGCAGGTGAGTCCCTCCAGATGCTGCTGAACGGTGCCTCCTGTCAACCCCGTCCTGCGTGGCCAATGGTGAGGCTTGGTGGAATGGCGGTCAAACAAAACTGGGAGGAAGACATCTTGGCCATTGCTTGCTCAAAACACAAGGCAAGGAGCCCAGATGGCAGCACGCCTGCTTGCACCGGCTGTCGGGGAAGAGTTCACGGCCAGCGAGCTTCCACCACGCTCAGCAGCTGTTTTTGAGTCCCCCGTACTGTTCCCTCGGAAGTTCCTTCTACTTGAGAACCCACTCAGGAAAATTCGGCCTATCGATGCTTGTCTCTTGTACATGTGACCTGCTCTTGGCTATGCTCTCTCTGAAAAGCCGAAATAGAATGATATAAAAACACACAACATCTCTCCCATCCACCACGCACACACACACACACTCTTCCCCCCCCCCCTTAATCCCAGGGCCCTCCCCACTTTTGATAGTCTGCAAACAGGGTAGGAAAAATGGGAGAGAAACATCTCAGCTCTGCGCCAAGATACCTTTTTGCTTTTTCAAAACCTGAAGGCTCAAGAAGGGCGTGAAATACACCTGAGTAGTTCCAATGCTCCAGTCCACCCACTAATATTGGATCGATGTGGCTTGTTTCCACCGCTGAGGGCAGGCAGGCTGTGCCCCTTGTGTCCTGTTTCGTGCCACACCCACACGTAGCTTTCATTTCTGTTCCAGGCCCAAGCTGTTCCCTTGTTTGGACACAAGTCACACAAAGTCATGCTGTTTTGTCCCTGGCATTTATTTATTTTGCATTTTCAGTTTCTGTTACTATTGTCATGAGCTACTCAAACATTGACAGGCTAAAATAGAATCAGAGGTTGCTCAGCGCTGCTGCTTGGGCCAAGCACCCGGAGGAAAACGTATTTTAGGCACTTCTCTCCACTGAGCGAATTCTGGGTGGACCACAGAAAAGGGCCCATTTGGAAAGGGGCGCGTACTGGGCCCAGCTGGTGCTGAACGGCGGCTCTTGTCCGGGCACGAAGAGGGTGTGCCGTTGAGTGGAAGGGGCGCAGGGCCTGGGACCCAGAGCAAGGTCCGGCTCCGTCGAAGGCACAAGATCAGGTTCGGCCCCATGAAATGTCACTCCCCATATGAGGTCAGAGCGGGACCAGGTGGACCTTCTGGCTCTTTCCTCCCCTTTTGGGGATGTTCAGATGCACCCTTTGAATGGCAGCAGGATGTCCCGTCACTTCGGATATCCTGCAGGCCTAAGTCAGAAGAGGAAATGGAGAAAAATAGCTGCTGTGATCCCACTTCAGCCGCGGAAGGAAAGCCATTACCTGTCACATCTGCTAAGGAGTCTCGGGGGAGGCCTTTGGGATTGACTGCCGTGTGCAGGATGAGCTGGTTCTCAAAATACGTTGGATCTCTGGAGTCCCAGTGGCCTAAAGTTGGAATAATGGGAGGATTGTCCTGAAACTCACTTGGCCATGCCCCCTTCCCACTGAGCATCAAGTTTTGGGGAGTTTCCTGGCTTCTGTGCAGTATTTCCCTGTCCTACCATGCTAAAGGTCAACTCCTAAAGCTTAGTTGTTGACAGTGAATGCTCTAACTTGGAATAGGCTGGTGGTGCCAACGAAGGGCCAAGTGCTGTTTTAGGCTGCATTCATCCGAGTACATCACTTCCCAATTCCACGGTTCTAGTTCCCCTTCACTCAGCGCCACAGGGACCTCATCTGCAGTGCTGTGCCTGGTTCTCCCTCAAAGAAAGACACAGATATGTTGGAGAGGGTACAGAGGAGGGTGACAAGGACGGTCCAGGGACTGGAAGCAAAGCCCCGTGAGGAGAGACGGAAAGAACTGGGCATGTTTCGCCTCAAGAAGAGGGGAGACAGGAGAGCACTCTTCAAGTACCTGAAAGGCTGTCTTCTCGATCACCGCAGGGTGCAGGACGCGGAATAATAGGCACAAGCTACAGGAACCCAGATCCAGCCTAGATATCAGGAAAAAGTCCTGACTTTTAGAGTGGAACAACGATGGAGCCAATGCGCCTAGGAGGCTGTGGGCTCTCCTGCTCTAGAGGAATCCAAGCTGCAACTGGACGGCCATCTGAGACGATGGCTTAACCTGGAGCCCCGCACCGAGCAGGGGGTGGACCTGATGGCCTTCGGGCTCCTTCCAGCTCTGCTCTTCTATGACTGTTGGTATTTGAGCCTTTATCACTGAGGGAGATGCAGCCCCGAGAGTTTCTCTGAATTGAATTTGGCCCTCAGACCGAAAGTAGTCCCGCACCTCTTGTTCCACCCGACAGTAGTGTGGGACCACTGTGACATTTTGAGCCCACCGGAGTTTCCAGACAAACTTCAAAAACAAGCCCCCAAGGCAATGAGATGACTAGACTTTCTGTACCCTCTGGTTTCCGTGGTTGCAATCCAGCACAAGTGCCCCCCTCTCCAGCATAATTAAAAAACGACTTTGTGGGGAATTGCCAGAGGAGGTGCCATGAGCTTTGACACCCCGTCATTTCCAGAGCACCTTCTAAATCTTTATGTGTGTTTGAAGATCTGTGGGGAAAGAGTGCGCACGGCACTGCCGGTCCTCCCCGCACCGAGGCGAGGCGCTCTTGTTTTCGTTTTTGACGGAAAGCAGAAAGAGCTTTGGAGGGCACATTGCAAACGTGGTTCTTGATTGTGTGGGAAGGGTATCCATGCGTCTCTTCTGCTCTTACCTTGACCCTCCATGGAACCCTGAAGATAAGAGCATTGCAGGCCAGCCGGTCCAGGCCAAAGGCCCATCCCTTTTCCCACGGAGAGCTGGCCTTGCTTCTCCGTCTCTCCCTCATCCTTCCAGGAGGCCTCCTCACTCATACACCAAAGCTCAGGGGGAGGAAGACCGGAAGTCTCCCAACCAGGGCCGAAGACCAACGGCTTCCTTCTTCAGCGTCCGGTGCAGGAAATTCCACGCCCCTCGTCTCAAGCGGGATCCCCTTCTTCCTCATCCTCGTGAGGAACTTGTCAACAGAAGCTCTCCTGACGTATCAAGTCCTATGTCCTCCTCACAGTCTGCGGGGGTCCAAGGGGAGGTGTGCTTGGGCGCACGCCCCACCATCGGCAGCTCCTCCAGCTGAACAACCCACAGCGTTAGTGGCAATAGCCTCCCATTTCTCAGAAGGCAAGCACATTTCTCTGCCAACCACGAACCACGAACCACATCCTCCCGACAGCTCATTGCCCCCGTCTCACCTGCTCTGGATCGCTGCTTACAGAAGGCCATTTCGTCGTTCACTCTCGCTTTCACTCCTTCCCCCAGGCGTTCGCGTTGCTTTGGGGAAACCCCAGTGGTCAGAAAGTGTGTAGATCAAGGGAGAGTGTCAAGGCACCTTGACCGGCACCAACGACGCACCCCAGGCTGCACTCTTGCACGGGGCCCCCCGTCGCTGGCCAACCATCCAGGAGCTTTCGGATCCTCATGGCGTTTATCTCGGTTGTCCAGGCATCCACTTCCGTTTCACCTCATGGGCACTCCAGGCCGGAGGCCTCCTCTCCCCAGAGGGGCCATTCCTTCATGCAGGACACCCACAAGGGTCATTTTTCCACAGTGGACACAGGTATCCGGCTTGCCATGGCTTGTGTGGGGCTTGTTTGAAGGCCAGGCATGCTCCAGTAACCCTGAAATGAGCAATGGGTTACGGGAGGGCTGTCTGGGCATTACGAGCCCCTCTGGCCACGGCAGGGCAGTCCCTCGTGGAAGTCTCCATGATGGAACTACCCCCACAGGTAAAGTAAGCAAACCAGCTCTCTCGCTCCTGGGTAATCGTCGGTGGAATCCAGACCCGGAGGGCTCTGTGGGCGGCAAGTCCCTGCTTGCATAGTGAGACGGTGACAACCCGGTTGCAGTTCCTGGGAGTAATGCAAGAAGAATCCAGAGCAGGTGATGCTGAATTCCTGGGTTCAAAGCCAAGGGTCAGGCTGCCAGCAGGAAGACAGCTGGCAAAACAAAGAATAGAAATAGAAATGCAAGCACTGTTTGCATCATCCCTTTCCAGATTTTCAGAAACCAAGCCGTTCTGACGTGCAGGAAACAGGAATGTCACTCCCAGAGAAAACGCAGTGCCTCCTCCCGCGTCTGAAGGCACGCGTGCCGCACCCTCGTCCACAGGAAGGTGACCCGCCTGAGGTTGCATGAAACGCTGTCGGCCGGGACCGGAGAAGAACGGGGTGGTGCAAAGTCAGTCATGCCAAGTCAGAGCTGACTCCCCATCCGGGCGACAGGTGCCAAGAGGGCCCTTCCCACTGATCGCCGTGCCGGCAGCAGCTGCTGTGTGTTGCGGGTCGCATTTATTGGGCCGCGGTTGTGAGTCAGCGGATGCTCATTGCTCTTTCTCATGCTATCTGGGAATCGTGATGACTGCACCTCTATCCTGCCTTTTCCCCTCTAGTGGCTTCCTTAGCTCCGTTTCAGCCCCCCAGCAACGGCCCTGTGAGGTAGGTCGGGCTGAGCGTCTGTGCGTGGCGCAGAGCCTCACGGGGATTCTCGTGGCTGAGTGGGGCTGGATGCTGGATCCTCCAGGCCTCCAGTGGCCACCTCTGGAGGGCCGCCAGTTCCCCCATTCGTCCTGAGCGTTTGTTT